GTAATTTTGAACGGTCACTATACGAACGGTTGTAAGTTGAGGTCTATCTGTAATACCGAGGGTTGTTATGGTAGTATAATAATAAAATAAAAAGATCTAAAGTCCATTACAAACAGAACAAAAAAATTGACCGTAATGTAAACTCTACCTTAATATTTCAGCAACAGCAGCATGAAGAAATTTCGGCCAAAAAACTCCGGCTAACCAAGCCCAGCAAATCCGCCGCCCTTCATGTAGATCTTTGTAAGGCCACATCGCCCGCTGATGCGTTGCAGTATCTTCTTCAGTTCGCTCGAAAACCTGTAGAAGCTGAAAGCGTGGAGGGCGTCGTGCGAATCTTGCTGGAACATTATTACAAGGTAGGCCAATTCTGTGGGGGGAGAAACTTGACTATGAGCCAGCAGTGTGCAGCAGCAGTCAAAAAAGCTAACACAATCCTGGGTTGTATAAACGGAGGCATAGAATCAAGATCACACGAGGTATTAGTACCGCTTTATAAAACCCTAGTAAGATCACACCTGGAATACCTCAGCCAATTTTGGTCACCATATCACAAAAAAGATGTTGAGAGTTTGGAAAAAGTTCAGAGAAGAGCAACTAAAATGATCAAAGGCCTGGAGACTAAAACATACGAAGAACGGCTGCGGGACTTGGGTTTAGCTAGTCCAGGGGTAGGCAACTTTGGCTCTTTTATGACTCGTGGACTTCAACTCCCAGAATTCCTGAGCCAGCCATGCTGAGGGGAAAAGGAGAGGTTTCCAAGCTGAGCCATGCTGGCTCAGGAATTCTGGGAGTTGAAGTCCAGGAGTCATAAAAGAGCCAAGGTTGCCTACCCCTGGGCTAGTCTAAAGAAAAGAAGAAATAGGGGCGACATGATAGTGTTCCGGTATCTGAGGGGCTGCCACCAAGAAGAGGGGGTCAGATTATTCTCCAAAGCACCAGAGGGCAGGACAAGAAACAATGATTGGAAACTGACCAAAGAGAAAAGCAAACTGGAATTAAGGAGAAACTTCCTGTCAGTGAGGACAATCAACCAGTGGAACAGCTTGCCACCAGAAATCGTGGGCGCTCCATCACTGGAGATTAAGAAGAGGCTAGACAGTCACTTGTCTGAGATGGTATAGGACTGTAGGTTCTCCTGCTTGAGCAGGGGGCTGGACTAGAAGACCTCCAAGGTCCCTTCCAGCTCAATTCTGTTCTGAAACCATGTTTGAGATTTACAGGTAATCCTTGATTTATGACCACAGTGGAAACTGGGATTAATGGCACATTCCACCTGCGTTCCCCCTTGCTCTCTGCTATCCATCCGTCCATCCTTTTATCCTTTTATCCTTTTGCTTATCATATTGATGGACAGGTAGTCCTCGACTTATCACCACAATGGAGCCCAAGGTTTCTGTTGGAAAGTGAGACCATTGTTCAGTGAATTTTGCCTCATTTTACGACCTTCGTTGGCGCAGTTGTTAAGAGACTCACTGCAGTTAAGTTAGTAAAGTACGGTAGTTGTTAAATATATCTCTGGCTTTCCCGTTAACTTTGCTTGTCAGGAGGCTGAAAAAGGGGACCACGTGATCTCCCCCTGGGGCACTGCAACTGTCATAAATACGAACCAGTTGTCAAGCATCTGAATTTTGATCACGTGATGATGTGGGTGCAGCGACGGTCATGTGAAAAATGATCATAAGTCCTTTTCAGTGCCATCACTTTGGAGAGTCACTGAACAGTCGGTTGTAAGTTAAGGATTACCTGTATTATTCTCAATTGCTTTGTTATTGTTTATTTTTCTATTAGCTTACTTCTGTTTGCACTCCTTTTATTTTCTTCCTTTTTATTATTGTAAGCAGCCGAGAAGAAGCCCATGGCGAGATAGGCAGCGACTAAATTTGACAAAATAAAATAAATATCTGGAAAATTTGTCATAATAATAATAGTAAAGTTGGAAGGGACCTTGGAGGTCATCTAGTCCAACCCCCTGCTCAGGCAGGAAACCCTATACCATTTCTGACAAATGGCTGTCCAGTCTCTTCTTAAAAACTTCCAGTGTTGGAGCATTCGCCGCTTCTGGAGGCAGGTTGTTCCACTGGTTAATTGTTCTCATTGTCAGGAAATTTCTCCTTAGTTCTAGGTTGCTTCTCTCCTTGATTAGTTTCTATCCGTTGCTTCTTGTCCTGCCTTCAGGCACCTTGGAAAATAGCTTGACTCCCTCTGCTTTGTGGCAGCCCCTGAGATACTGGAACACTGCTATCATGTCACCCCTCGTCCTTCTCTTCATTAAACTAGAGACATACCCAATTCCAGCAACCATTCCTTATATGTTTTAGCTTCCAGTCCCCTGATCATCTTTATTGCTCTTCTCTGCCCTCTTTCTAGAGTCTCAACATCTTTTTTACATCGTGGTGATTATCAAGCTGTACAATCGATAAGTGTGACCATACCCGATTTTATGACCTTTTTTTGGCACAGTTGTTAAGTGAATTATGTGGTTGTTTAGTGAAGTGCACACCTGGTTTATCATGCAACAGAGCCAGCTGGGAAGGTGGCAGGCAAGAGGATATTTTGACACCCTTCTCTTATCACCCAGGAAAATGATCCCTCTGTCAGACTGAAAATTGCTTCCTTGCTGGGCCTACTATCCAGAACTCCTGGTTTTTCTCCCGACTGCATTCTGGACGATGTCGTTAATACCCTCCAAACTGAAAGTAAGTGATTTTTTTCCCCACAACTAAAGAATTGTTTCATGATATGTAAAGCATGTGAGGCAATGAGGTTCCTGGAGTCACCATGAGTGAGTTGTGTGGCCAGGTATGTTTTCAGAAAGAAAGAAAAGAGAGAGAGAGGGAGGGAGGGAGGGAGAAAGAAAGAGAGAGAGAGAGAAAAAAAGAGAAAGAAGGAAAGAAAGAAAAGAGGGAAGGAAGAAAGGAAAGAAAAGGAAGGAAGGAACGAAAGAAAGAAAGGGAGGAAGGAAAGAAAAGAGAAAGAAAGAGAAAAAGAAAAAGAAAGGAAAGAAAGGAGGGAAGGAAGGAAGGAAAGAAAGGAAGGGAGGAAGGAAAAAAGAAAGAAAAAAAGAAAGACAAAGAAAGAGAAAATGAAAGAAAAGAAAGAAAGAGAAAGAAAGAAAAAGAATGAAAGAAAAAGAAAGAAAGAAAGAGAAAGAAAGAAAGAAAGAAAGAAAAAGAAAGAAAGAAAGAAAGAAAGAAAGAAAGAAAGAAAGAAAGAAAGAGGAAAACTCTGTGCGGGTATGTCTGTGTGTTTGTAGAATATGGCACTAATAAAGTAACAGGTAGTCCTCAACCTATGACCACAATTGAATCCAAAATTTCTGTTGCTGAGCAAGGCAGTTGTTCAGTGAGTTGTGTCCCATTTTGGGACCTTCTTTGCCATAAAACGAGTTACTATAATTGTTAAGTGAATTGTGCAATTGGGAAGCGAATTTGGCTTTCCCTATTGACTTTGCTTGTGCTGGCTGGGAAGATTACAAACTGTGATCACATGATCCCAGGACAGTGCAAGTACATGTCAGGTGCCAAAGCGCTGAATTTTGATCATGCGACCGTGGGGACGCTGCAGTGGTCCTACATGTGAAAAAGGGTCATAAGTCAGAATAACAGTTGGAAGGGACCTTGGAGGTCCTCTAGTCCAGCCTCTCCTCAAGCAGGAAACCCCATTCCATTTCAGACAAGTGGTTGTCCAATCTTTTATGGATGGATGGATGGATGGATGGAATAGATAGATAGATAGATAGATATGAATAGATAGATAGATAGATATGATAGATAGATAGATTAGATGATAGATAGATAATGAATATATATATATATATATATATATTATCTTGATAGAGATAATGAATAGATTAGATGGATGGAGGGATAGATAGATAGATATGAATAGATTAGATGATAGATAGATAATGAATATATATATATATATATATATATATATAGATAGATAGATAGATAGATAGATAGATAGATAGATAGATAGATAGATAGATAGATAGATAAGAGATGAGCGAGAGAGTAGATAAATTAGATGATAGAGATAATGAATAGATTAGATGGATGGATGGATGGATGGATGGATGGATGGATGGATGGATAGATAGATAGATAGATAGATAGATAGATAGATAGATAGATAGATAGATAGATAGATAGATAGATAGATAGATAGATAGATAGATAGATAGATGATAGATAGATAGATAGAGGTGGAGTTTGCTCCCTGTTTACATAAGTAGCCTTTTTCTATAGCATGGTTGTTGCGCTATGTCTTCTTCTGAGTAGATGTGGCTTTTGGTTTGTTTTCCAGAGTCTCACCAAGTTCTGGCTCAGCTTTTGGATACTTTGCTGGTGATTGGGAATGAGCTTCAGGAAAACCCTGCCGTCCGAGGGCGTCTTGTAGACGTGGCATGCAAGGTAATTCAAGATGGTCAGCCAGCGAAAAAAGTCAGCATAAGAGTTTTTTTTAAGTTATTTGACTGTATAGATCAGGGGTCTTCAAACTTGGACCTTTTATGACTTGTGGACTTCAACTCCCAGAATTCTATTATTAATAATAATAAATTGGAAGGGACCCTGGAGGTCATCTAGTCCAACCCCCTGCTCAGGCAGGAAACCCTGTACCATTTCAGACAAATGGCTGTCCAGTCTCTTCTGAAAAACTTCCAGTGCTGGAGCATCCACCGCGTCTGGAGGCAGGTTGTTCCACTGGTTAATTGTTCTAACTGTCAAGAAATTTCTCCTTAGTTCTAGGTTGCTTCTCTCCTTGATCAGTTTCCACCCATTGCTTCTCGTCCTGCCTTCAGACGCTTTGGAGAATAGCTTGACTCCCTTTTCTTTGGGGCAGCCCCTGAGATACTGGAACAATGCTATCATGTCCCCCCTCGTCCTTCCCTTCATTAAACTAGACCTACCCAATTCCAGCAACTGTTCCTTATATGTTTTAGCCTCCAGCCCCCTGATCATCTTTGTTGCTCTTGTCTGCACTCTTTCTAGAGTCTCAACATCTTTTTTACATCGTGGGGACCAAAACTGGATGCAGGATTCCAAATGTGGCCTTACCAAGGCATTGTATTGACCTCATGTGGACCTCAACTCCCAGAATTCCTTAGCCAGCCATGCTGGCTGGGGAATTCTGAGAGTTGAAGTCCACAAGGCTTAAAGTTGCCAAAGATGGACATCCCTGATACAGATCAATGTTTTTCAACATTTCTTCCTGCCACGATGTATAATAATCGTTTATAAGGGTATTGTGGTCCCTCCTGACCTCCAGAAAGCAGAAAAAAATCATGGGGCAATCTACTTTTCCCTTTTTGCTCCGTAGCATCTGACAGATTCCTCCCACGGTGTAAGGAACAAATGCCTGCTCCTGATTGGCTGTCTGGGGACAGTGGAGAAAGCTGCCTCGAAGGAAGGGGAACGCCAGTCTCCCAAAGACGTGCAGAAGATCATAGGGGATCACTTCAACGACCAGGATCCACGCGTTAGGACTGCAGCTATCAAGGCTATGGTAGGTCTGCCTGAGAAGAATAGTGGTTTAGAAATAATAATAATAATAATAATAATAATAATAATAATAATAATAATAATAATAATAATAATAATAATAATAATAATAATAATAATAATAATAATAAAGTTGGAAGGGACCTTGGAGGTCATCGAGTCCAACCCCCTGCCCAGGTAGGAACCCTACACCATTTCAGACAAACGGCTGTCCAGTCTCTTCTTAAAACAGGGCTTAACTCTGGCAGTTCTCAGGAAAAAAAAATTCCTTGGTCTAGATCAGGGGTCTCCAAACGTGTCAACTTTCAGACTGGTGGACTTCAACTCCCAGAATTCCCTAACTGGCTGTGGAATTCTGGGAGTTGAAGTCCACGAGTCTGAAAGTTGACAAGTTTTGGAGATACCTGGTGTAGATGTAGAAGTAGAGGTTAGCCCAGGGGTGGGGAACCTTGGCTCTTTTATGACTTGAGGACTTCAACTTCAGTCCTGCTGAAAAACCAGAAGTGCTCATTTTCTGTAAATTCATTGTAAAATGTGGTCTTGCGATTGCGGGGTCCTGCAAACGTCTGTAAATGCAGCCGTGTTGCCCGTAGTTTGGTCACCCTGATTGTGGAGGGCTCCCCACTGTTGAAACTTCAGAACTAGGTTGTAGCTACCCGCAAGGTGGGTCCATCATAGCTTTGAACAGTCGCTAAGCGACCAGTCATAACTTGAGGACCATCTGTACTGGACCTTTGTAGTAATGGGCTATGGAAATATAGCCAAAATCCCATAACATTTTGTTAGAAATTCTGTATTCAGAACAAAGTGTACAGTCACCATGAGTTTTTCTCCTCAACTGCAACAGGAGTCGGGAAAACTCTACTCAGAACAAAAAGACATAGAGTATATATATATATATACCATAGATGCAAACTTATAAACACTGCCCTCTACTGATGGGCTGTAGTTGTTGCACAAAATACATGCAAACATGTATTCCAACACATTTTCATGTTGTTTTGCAAAAAACCTTATGTTCTTTGAATTGCTATAATAACAGTCTGGTGTTCGTTTGTTTTTCTATAGTTGCAGCTTCACGAGAGGGGATTAAAGTTGCAGCAAGCCATTTATAACCAGGTAATGATTACATGCTATACCAGTTTAGCAAAGGGCTCTAATATTTGATGAATCCAAGAGAAATATTAAGGAGGTCTGCTTTGATTAGGTTTTGGTCTAGTGGTTAAGGCACCAGATTAGAAAGTGGGAGATGGTGAGTTTTAGTCCCACCTTAGGCATGAAAGCCAACTGGGTGATTTTGAGCCAATCACTAGGAGACGGTGACTTCTAGTCCTGCTTAGACAGGAAAGCCAGCTGGGTGACTTTGGGCCAGTCATCAGGAGACGGTGAGTTCTAGTCCTGCTTAGCCATGAAAACCAGCTGGGTGACTTTGAGCCAATCACCAGGAGATGGTGAGTTCTAGTCTTGCTTAGATATGAAAGCCAGCTGGGTTACTTTGGGCCAGTCACCAGGAGACGGTGAGTTCTAGTCCTGCTTAGACACGAAAGTCAGCTGGGTGACTTTGGGCCAGTCACCAGGAGACGGTGAGTTCTAGTCCCGCCTTAGCCATGAAAGCAAGCTGGGGATGCTGCAATGGTCATAAGTGTGAAAATTGGTCACAAGTCACTATTTCCAGTGACGTTGCGACTTCGAATGGCCACGAAACGAACTATTGTAAGTCGAGGACTTCCTGTAACGGCGAAATGGCCGGCCGCTAATAACCTCCTGGAAATCTTCCATTTCAGGCTTGCAAACTCTTAATGGATGATTACGAACAGGTCCGCAGTGTAGCGGTGCAGCTCACCTGGGTCCTGAGCCAGCTTTACGCAGAAAGGTACGTGCAAGTGTTAGGTCGTTCCACAGGAAGGAGAGCATGTAAACAGGATTGGGAGAAGCTCTGTTGGGAAGGGAATTTTGGGAGTTGAAGTCCAGACATCTTAAAAGTTGCTGTGAAAGTCTGGTGTACAGATAGCCCTCGGAGTTGTGAACCTAATGGAGCCTAATAAAGCTAAAACTAATAAAGAAGGTCAGGGGTGTTACCCAGTTTTAGGATCTTTTGGGGGGTAGTTGTTAAGCAAATACAGGTAGTCCTTGACCCACGACCGCAGCTGAGCCCAAAATTTCTGCCGCTAAGTGAGACACATGTTAAGTAAGTTTTGCCCCAGTTTTACAACTGTTTTTGGCCACAGTTATTAAGTGAATCTCCGCAGTTGTTAAGTGAGTCACACGGCTGTTAAATGAATCCGGCTTCCCCCATTGACTTCGCTTATCAGAAGGTCGCAAAGGGGGATCACGTGACCCCCTGGCACGCTGCGACCGTCATAAATATGAACCAATTGCCAACCGTCCGAATTTTGATCTCATGATCGTGGGGATGCCGCTACGGTTGTAAATGTAAAAAAACGGTCATAAGTCGCTTTTTTCAGTGCAGTTGCAACTTTGAACGCACTAAACGGAACTGCGATAAGTCAAGGAATACCTGTAATATCATTTATCTCTCTGTCTCTCTTTTCTTGCTCTCTGTCTGTCTCTCCCTCTTCTTGCTCTCTGTCTCTCTCTATTTCTGTCTCTCTTTCTCGCGCTCTCTGTCTCTCCCTTTGTCTCTCTCTTTTCTCGCTCTCTGTCTGTCTCTCTGTCTCTTTCTCTCGGTCTCTGTCTCTCTCTGTCTCTCTTTCTCGCTCTCTCTGTCTCTGTCTCTTTTCTCACTGTCTCTCTTTGTCTCTGTCTCTCTCGCTCTCTGTCTCTGTCTCTCTTTCTGTCTCTCTCTGTCTCTGTCTCTCTTTCTCGCTCTCTCTGTCTCTGTCTCTTTTCTCGCTCTCTGTCTGTCTCTCTCGCTCTCTGTTTCTGTCTCTCTTTTCTCGCTCTGTCTCTCTCTTTGTCTCTCTCGTTCTCTGTCTCTCTCTTTTCTCACTCTGTCTCTCTCTGTCTCTGCCTCTGCCTTTCTCTCTCTCTCTGTCTCGCTCTCTGTCTCTGTCTCTCTCTTTCTCGCTTTCTGTCTCTCTCGCTCTGTCTCTTTTTCACTCTCTGTCTCTGTATCTCTTTCTGTCTGTCTCACTCTTCGTCTGTCTCTCTCTCTGTCTCTCTCTCTGTCTCTGTCTCTTTTCGCTCTCTGTCTCTCTATGTCTGTCTTTCTCTCTCTCTGTGTCTTTCTGTCTCTCTCTCTCTCTCCCTCCCTCTCTCTCTCTCCCTCTTTCTTTCTCTCTCTCTCTCTCTCTCTCTTTCTCTTTTTCTCTCTCTCTAGCATTGTCCCCATCCCATCTTCCAATGAAGAAATCCGGCTGGTTGACGATGCATTTGGGAAGATCTGCCACATGGTCAGCGATGGCTCCTGGGTGGTGAGAGTCCAGGCGGCTAAGCTATTGGTAAGGGCTCTCTCCTTCTTCTTTTCAAGTTGCCAAGGTGATCATAACTCACCTGCCAGCGGGTCCATATGAAATCCAAAATGCTTCCTTGTTCTCTCTCTTTATGGTCCATTTGCCTTTGTGCTGAGCTTCAGAAAGTCCCACCCTGAAGCTCAAAGGGATGAAGGGAAGCCTGGGAGAAACTAAAAAAAATGGCTCCATTGTTGAGTCTCTTTTATTTATATGGGGTGAAAAAAAGGTGTTGGGCGTACTGCAACATCCTTTGAATATCTGTGAAATAAGAGACTGGGTTATTCTAAAGCAGGGGTCTTCAAACCTGGCCCTTTTATGACTTGTGGACTTCAACTCCCAGAATTCCTCAGCCAACATGGGGGAACTATGGCCCCTTCATGACTTGGGGACTTCAATTCCCAGAATTCCTCAGCCAGGCACTCTGGCTGAGGAATTCTGGGAGTTGAAGTCCACAAGTCATAAAAGGGCCAAGTTTGAAGACCCCTGTTCTAAAAACAGGCTCTCTCCAAATTTGGCAACTTCAAGACTTAACAAGGAACATAGAATAATAGCACTTCAACTCCCAGAATTCCCCAGGAATTCCCCAGGAATTCTGGGAGTTGGAAGTCCATAAATCTGAAAGTTGCCAAAATTTGGGGAATCTCTGTTTTAAAAAGGACACATTCTTAGCATCACCCAGTTTGAAATGACTTGAAACTCTCTACCCACCTACCAGATGCGAGTTAAATAATTGTCTTAACGTTCATTGGGATTAAAATGAAATTTCTGATGAATGCTGATGAAAAATTTCTGTTTTTCCCACCTGTTTTCCAGGGGTCTATGCAGCAAGTCAGCTCTCATTTTTTAGAACAGACCTTGGACAAGAAACTGATGTCAGATTTGAGGGTAAGGCATTCTGTTCTGTTTTGTGGCTGGAGCTTATACCTGTATTTCCAAACCCTGGGAGTCTGGGGGCTGCACAATTTTTTTTTAAATGTTTTATTGATTTTTAACGTATACCTTAATATTTGGTAAACATCGTGTTGTCTGGGTTAATGTTTAAAAAACAATAACAATTAATTTCTATAATTCTAGAGTCCATATGATAGCTTTGCTTGATTTCCTCTTCTTCCAATAACATTCTCTTCTGCCAACCTTAAATTAATACAATTCTTATTTAAATAAATGACAATTAAATATAAACATTTTTTCTCACGTTTCTGCAAGTAATAACCGCATCAATATAAAGCTTCTTGGGAGTCTGGAGGTGGCACAATTGATTCTTTTGAATCCTTTCTGATTTTGTTTTATTATTTTACTCTTCCCCTACTCCAGGGGTAGGCAACCTTGGCTCTTTTATGACTCGGGGACTTCAACTCCCAGAATTTCTGAGCCAGCATGGGGGAACTATGGCCCCTTCATGACTCGTGAACTTCAACTCCCAGAATTCCTGAGCCAGCATGGGGGAACTATGGCCCCTTCATGACTCGTGGACTTCAACTCCCAGAATTCCTGAGCCAGCATGGGGGAACTATGGCCCCTTCATGACTTGTGGACTTCAACTCCCAGAATTCCTGAGCCAGCATGGGGGAATCTATGGCCCCTTCATGACTTGTGGACTTCAACTCCCAGAATTCCTGAGCCAGCATGGGGGAACTATGGCCCCTTCATGACTTGGGGACTTCAACTCCCAGAATTCCTGAGGCAGCATGGCTCAGCTTGGAAACCTCTCCCTTTCCCCTCAGCATGGCTGGCTCAGGAATTCTGGGAGTTGAAGTCCACCAGTCATAAAAGAGCCAGGGTTGCCTATCCCTGCCCTACTCCTGCCCTACTCTACTTTACTGTACACGCTGTCATTATTTTTACAAATAGCTCAAGGTGGCAATCCTATCCAACACACCTTTCTCCACCTTTTTTTCCTCACAACAACAATCTTGTGAGGTGGGGATTGGGCTGAGAGAGAGAGCACTTTGGGAATGAAAAGAGCAGCTGAGCAGTCCTTGCTTAGCGACCGCATTGATTTACCTAACAACCACGATAGGAAGCCCCAGAATTTCCATCGCTAAGCAGAGCAGTCGTGTGAGGACGGTGGAAATTCCGGCTCTTCTCGTTAAGCGAGGACTTAAGCTGGAGGCTAAAACATAGAAGGAACGGTTGCTGGAATTGGGTGTGTCTAGTTTAATGAAGAGAAGGACGAGGGGGGACATGATAGCAGCCTTCCAATATCTCAGGGGCTGCCCCAAAGAAGAGGGAGTCAAGCTATTTTCCAAAGCCCCTGAAGGCAGGACAAGAAGCAATGGGTGGAAACTCATCAAGGAGAGAAGCAACTTAGAACTCAGGAGAAACTTCCTGACAGTGAGAACAATTAACCAGTGGAACAACCTGCCTCCAGAAGCTGTGAATGCTCCAACACTGGAAGTTTCTAAGAAGAGATTGGACAGCCATTTGTCCGAAATGGTGTAGGGTTTCCTGCCTGACCAGGGGGTTGGACTAGATGACCTCCGGGGTCCCTTCCAACTTTTTTATTATTATTATTATTATTATTATTATTATTATTATTATTATTATTATTATTATTATTATTATTATTATTATTATTATTATTATTATTATTTTATTATTTTATTATTATTTTATTATTATTATTATTATTATTATTATTATTATATGGTATAGGGTTTCCTGCCTGAGCGGGGGTTGGATTAGATGACCTCCAAGGTCCCTTCCAACTTTTATTATTGTTGTTGTTATTATTATTTAAAAGAAACGGTTGGAAGGTGTTAAAATGTCTGACTTCCTTGACGGTTTGGCCCACAGCGAAAGCGCACGGCTCACGAACGGGCGAAAGAGCTGTACAGCTCCGGGGAATTCTCAAGCGGCCGGAAATGGGGGGACGATGCCCCCAAAGAAGAAATAGACACGGGAGCCGTGAACCTCATCGAATCGGGGGCCTGCGGTGCTTTTGTTCACGGCCTGGAAGACGAGATGTACGGTGAGTGGCAGCCCCTTGAATCTTTTTGGGGGGGATGGGGGGAAGCGGTCCTCGTCTCCTAGAAAAAGTTTCCTTTCCTTCGTTTCTCTGCCTTTCATCCGGTTTCTAGCTCTTGATTCAGTTAAATGTCGCTCAGTTCTCCAGGTCAGGGTTGTCCCAAAGGTGCTTTTTTCAGGAGGCAACTGGGCTCCCTTGTTTTTCTTTGAAGACGTTTTGCTCCTCATCCCAAGAAGCTTCTTCCGCTCTGACTGGATGGTGGGGAAGGGAAGGATTTATACTCCTTTCAGACAGAGGTCTTCAAACTTGGTCCTTTTAGGACTCGCGGACATCAACTCCCAGAATTCCTCAGCCAGCACAAGGGAACGATGGCCCCTTCATGACTTGTGGACTTCAACTCCCAGAATTCCTCAGCCAGCATGGGGAAAACTTTGGTCCCTTCATGATTTGTGGACTTCAACTCCCAGAATTCCTCAGCCAGCATGGGGGAACTATGGCCCCTTCATGACCAGTGGACTTCAACTCCCAGAATTCCTCAGCCAGCATGGGGGAACTATGGCCCCTTCACGACTTGGGGACTTCAACTCCCAGAATTCCTCAGCCAGCATGGGGGAACAATGGCCCCTTCATGACCTGTGGACTTCAACTCCCAGAATTCCTGAGCCAGCATGGGGGAACAATGGCCCCTTCATCACTCGTGGACTTCAACTCCCAGAATTCCTCAGGCAGCATGGGGGAACTATGCCCCCTTCATGACTTGTGGACTTTAACTCCCAGAATTCCTCAGCCAGCGTCATTTGCATCCTTTTAGAGAGTCGTTGAGGCCACTTGGAGGTTTATCTGTGTCCTCAGGGTCACCTGACTAGTGAAAATAGGTGTGCTGAAAGGAGTTCCAAAAAGGCTCCACACCCATTTGCACCATTCAGGTAACCCTGAGGACATAAATAAATCTCCAAGTGGCCTCAACGACTCTCTAAAAGAATGCAAATGACGCTGGCTGAGGAATTCTGGGAGTTGAAGTCCACAAGTCATGAAGGGGCCATAGTTCCCCCATGCTGCCTGAGGAATTCTGGGAGTTGAAGTCCACGAGTGATGAAGGGGCCATTGTTCCCCCATGCTGGCTCAGGAATTCTGGGAGTTGAAGTCCACAGGTCATGAAGGGGCCATTGTTCCCCCATGCTGGCTGAGGAATTCTGGGAGTTGAAGTGCCCAAGTCATGAAGGGGGCATAGTTCCCCCATGCTGGCTCAGGAATTCTGGGAGTTGAAGTCCACAAGTCATGAAGGGGCCATAGTTCCTCCATGCTGGCTCAGGAATTCTGGGAGTTGAAGTCCACCAGTCATGAAGGGGCCATAGTTCCCCCATGNATGGCCCCTTCATGACTCGTGGACTTCAACTCCCAGAATTCCTGAGCCAGCAGGGGGAAACTATGGCCCCTTCATGACTCGTGGACTTCAACTCCCAGAATTCCTGAGCCAGCATGGGGGAAACTTTGGCCCCTTCATGACTCGCGGACTTCAACTCCCAGAATTCCTGAGCCAGCATGGCTCAGCTTGGAAACCTCTCCCTTTCCCCTCAGCATGGCTGGCTCAGGAATTCTGGGAGTTGAAGTCCACGAGTCATAAAAGAGCCAAGGTTGCCTACCCCTGCCCTACTCCTGCCCTACTCTACTTTACTGTACACGCTGCCGTTATTATTTTTACAAATAGCTCAAGGTGGCAATCCTATCCAACACACCTTTCTCCACCTTTTTTTCCTCACAACAATCTTGTGAGGTGGGGGTTGGGCTGCTGAGAGAGAGCGCACTTTGGGAATGAAAAGAGCAGCTGAGCGGTCCTTGTTAGTGACCGCATTGATTTACCTAACAACCACGATAGGAAGCTCCAGAATTTCCATTACTAAGCAGAGCAGTCGGTGGAAATTCCGGCTTTTCTCGTTAAGCGAGGACTTAAGCTGGAGGCTAAAACATAAGGAACGGCTGCTCTAATTGGGAATGTCTAGTTTAATGAAGAGAAGGACCAGGGGGGACATGATAGCAGTCTTCCAGTATCTCAGGGGCTACCCCAAAGAAGAGGGAGTCAAGCTATTCTCCAAAGCGCCTGAAAGCAGGACAAGAAGCAACGGATGGAAACTCATCAAGGAGAGAAGCAACCTAGAACTAAGGAGAAACTTCCTGACAGTGAGAACAATTAACCAGTGGAACTACCTGCCTCCAGAAGCGGTGAATGCTCCAACACTGGAGGTTTCTAAGAAGAGACTGGACAGCCATTTGTCCGAAATGGTGTAGGGTTTCCTGCCTGAGCAGGGGGTTGACTAGATGACCTCCAAGGTCCCTTCCAACTTTATTATTATTATTATTATTATTATTACTACTACTACTACTACTAGTAGTAGTACTACTACTACTACTACTATTATTATTATTATTATTATTATTATTATTATTATTATTATTATTATTATTATGAAATGGTGTAGGGTTTCCTGCCTGAGCAGGGGGTTGAACTAGATGACCTCCAAGGTCCCTTCCAACTTTATTATTATTATTATTATTATTATTATTATTATTATTATTATTATTATTATATGGTATAGGGTTTCCTGCCTGAGCAGGGGGTAGGATTAGATGACCTCCAAGGTCCCTTCCAACTTTTATTATTGTTGTTAGTGTTATTGTTATTATTATTATTATTATTATTTAAAAGAAACGGTTGGAAGGTGTTAAAATGTCTGACTTCCTTGACAATTTGGCCCACAGCGAAAGCGCACGGCTCACGAACGGGCGAAAGAGCTGTACAGCTCTGGGGAATTCTCAAGCGGTCGGAAATGGGGGGACGATGCCCCCAAAGAAGAAATAGACACGGGAGCCGTGAACCTCATCGAATCGGGGGCCTGCGGCGCTTTTGTTCACGGCCTGGAAGACGAGATGTACGGTGAGTGGCAGCCCCTTGAATCTTTTTTTGGGGGGTGGGTGGGAAGTGGTCCTCGTCTCCTAGAAAAAGTTTCTTTTCCTTCGTTTCTCTGCCTTTCATCCAGTTTCTAGCTCTTGATTCAGTTAAATGTCGCTCAGTTCTCCAGGTCAGGGTTGTCCCAAAGATGCTTTTTTCAGGAGGCAACTGGTCTCCCTTGTTTTTCTTTGAAGACGTTTCGCTCCTCATCACAAGAAGCTTCTTCCGCTCTGACTGGATGGTGGGGAAGGGAAGGATTTATACTCCTTGCAGACAGCTGGTCATTTGCCTCCTTTTAGAGAGTCATTGAGGTCACTTGGAGGTTTATCTGTGTCCTCAGGGTCACCTGACTAGTGAAAATAGGTGTGCTGAAAGGAGTTCCAAAAAGGCTCCACACCCATTTGCACCATTCAAGTGACCCTGAGGACATAAATAAATATCCAAGTGGCCTCAACGACTCTCTAAAAGAATGCAAATGACGCTGGCTGAGGAATTCTGGGAGTTGAAGTCCACAAGTCATGAAGGGGCCATAGTTCCCCCATGCTGGCTGAGGAATTCTGGGAGTTGAAGTCCACAAATCATGAATGGACCAAAGTTTTCCCCATGCTGGCTCAGGAATTCTGGGAGTTGAAGTCCACAAGTCATGAAGGGGCCATAGTTCCCTTATTCTGGCTGAGGAATTCTGGGAGTTGATGTCCATAAGTCCTAAAACGTCCAAGTTTGAAGACCCCTGCTTTACAGCCTCCAAAGAGAGAATTCCGGCATTTCCTTTCTCCATCTCTGACACGCCCTCTTGATCTATTTTTTCAGAGGTCCGGATTGCCGCCGTGGAAGCCCTTTGCATGCTGGCCCAGTCTTCGCCCTCTTTTGCCGAGAAGTGCCTCGATTTTCTGGTCGACATGTTTAACGACGAAATTGAGGAAGTGAGGCTGCGGTCGATTCACACCATGAGGAAGATTTCAAACAACATCACCCTGCGAGAGGATCAGCTGGACACAGTGCTGGGGGTCTTGGAGGCAAGGATTTCCCCCCCATCCCCAAATCCTTTTTTAGTTTGGGCTTCCTTTGGAATTGATTTCGCTTTGATCATTTGATTTCAGCGGGAACGTTGTTATGATCGTGACATGATCAATGTCGTCGTTTTCATTCGGTCGGGATAGGCTCCCCATGAACCAGCCTCAAGAGCAGAGTTGAATTCTGCTTCCTTGAGTTGTGGCTTAACCTTCCAACTGCTCCTCAATTCTACAGGTCCTAACTGCGTCACCCTTTGAACCCATTAGAACCTGTTCTTTGAGATCCTTGTCACTCAAGGTCGCCTTCCTGATAGCCATAACCTCCGCCAGACGCATCTCGAAGCTGGCAGCTTTATCTGTCAGGGAAGACCTGTGCACGTTTCACGAAGACAGGGTGGTTCTCAGGTTGGATCCTTCCTTTATCCCTAAGATCAACACAGTGTTTCATAGGGCACAGGAGACTTTTGCCCCCGTCCGTCACATGACCTGGAACGGCAATGGCACACATTGGACGTCCGCAGGGCC